ACTGATTATAATGACTTATACTGTCTTTTTACGCATTGCGTTGCATCGCGCCGTGTAAACATAAAACCATGTCGGCATTTGTGATCAGAGAAATGACAAACAACAAGCGCTACTCTACACTGCTTAAAACTCGCGTCACTGAATCGTCAGTGGCAAATTCTTTTAAATATGAAAACGTACTTAGTCTGTGAGTCAGAAGCGCCAGACTGTCCTTGCAAAGTTGGAACTGCCCCACTTTATAGAAGCAACCTTTGTGCACAGAAGCATTGTAGGCTACTCAGCAGGTTCAGGAAACAGTCCTCCGTAAAAATGCGCTGCACACATCTGAATATTTGGTTTGAACTGTTCTGGAACAGTGTTGTAAATACAACTTAACCACTGATTTCTAGTTGTGTCCTCTTTTGGAAGACCAAACAAAGTAGTTTCGCTTTCACAACGAAACACAGCATCTCCACGACATGGCGGCGGCAGCAGCAATACTACAGCAAGAATCAAAGTTATACCTTCTTTCTTTGCGTGAACATTTGGGCGGCGTTATGCAAATCTTACCACATCGTGACGTAGACATGTGGAGGCGTGTTTAAATGAGGCGTTTTAGGAGGGTGTGAACGAGTCTAAACTTTTATAAAGAATATCTCTTTGGGTTTGAGACTTTAGTCTTTGCAACTTTAGGGATCTTATCTATTCACGAACAGCTTGTAACACTCCAAAGACAAAAGAAAAATTGAAATTGCATCATATGACCCCTTTAAAGCACATGATGAAAGAGTATAATCCAAAAATAGTCTTTTAATTATTAATCCACAAGGAACACACACACACACACACAAAGGAGAATCGCAGGAGCAAACGTAGCACACACAATAGTAAAGAAAAAATAACCGGCAACGACTGAACAGAACAGGGAGTATAAATAAGGATACTAATGAATGAGTATCAGCTGCAAATCATAAGTAACCATAGAAACAAATCAGGACTGAACAGAAACTAGGGCAATGGAACAAAACAGGGAGGAGGGTGTGAACGAGTCTAAACTTTTATAAAGAATATCTCTTTGGGTTTGAGACTTTAGTCTTTGCAACTTCTTCTTAGGGATCTCATCTATGAACGAACAGCTTGTAACACTCCAAAGAGAAAGGAAAACTTGAAATTGCATCATATGACCCCTTTAACTTCACTCTGCAGGGCCCAGCTCACTGCTCCACTCTGCATTTCGGTTTGGGGCCAAACGACCCGGTTCTGGGAATCTCTGGTTCTGAACTGGAGGTGGATGTTGAGTATACCTTTCGCCTGACCGTCAGCAAAGAAGGCATGACCCCAGAATCCACAAACCAAACGGTGAGTGCTTTTATTATAGATTACTACAAGCTTTTCATATCTAATGTGTTTGTATTTGCATTTACAAATATGTCTTGTTATTCATTCTTGTCATTTGATCAACAGCTGTTTTTCTCCATCGCTCATACTCATTTTATATTACAAAGTACATCTCATTATATTTTAATTCTTTACATTTTTAATCGTTTAAAATAAAATGAAAATAAAATAAAAATTGTATTCAATAACTACCTGCAGTCCAGTTTAAGCATGTTCAAAGTGCACTGAATAGAGCTGTCATATTTTAATGAAGTGATTGTCATTCTTTTCAGTGCAAACACGCCTCTTTTCTATGTAAATTAGGCTCATTATAGAATACTAATTATCCACAATCAAAGGCATTCAATGCCACGCTGTTGCCACCCCATGGAAAGCTGGCAGTAAACAGATTTTAATTTAAAAGATACATTTGTTTACATTTTTTACCAATCATGACTGCAGTAAATCGTCAAATTAGGAACAAAAGCACATCCTCCACCATCTCATTACACGAAACCGGTCTGTGAGATGTGGATTTGTGCCTTTTTTGTGGGGTGTAATTGTGCTTTTACCTGATATGCATACTTTCAATAGTGAAGTGTGAGCTAAAACAATGCAGTGCATGCAAATGAGCAAAGTTATGAGTGTTTGCTATTCGTTGTTAGTTATTCCCGCCTTTTGTTTTGTTCTACAGCATTCAAATTAATCGCTATTGTCATTACAAAATATTCATTCTTATTAAGCATACTTTGTATTTAGCTATAATTAACTGACCCGAACTGGTAAAATGAAAGTTTGTTACATAATTCCAAACATAATTTACTTTCTGACCTTCACAATTCTAAGCTACATGTGAAAGCTTGATATGTTATGCGAGTTTTGAATGAGAATGTACATGAAACTTATTTCACTCACTGAATTGAAATGATTTGTTGGATCCTAAAGGGAATATTTTATGAGATTTAACTTTGAGGGTCTGATTGCTTTGGGAACCGAGATGTAATCAATTTGCGATGTCTATTGACCCCTAAAATCCTTTTTTTCCCCTTCATAAACCCATTATTCCTGTGTCACATTCACAACAGGTATGGGAGATTTGCCAGTCTCAGCGCTAACATTGTTAATATTTGAATCAGTTCAAAGAGTGAGAGACGTTTCAAACTAATCAGTTTCCATCATAATTGCCATGTCAGTTTCCATGGTCAACAGAAAACATAATTGCATAACTTCAAGTTTGTTTTCTTCTGTCTTCTCCTGCTCACAGGTGTGGGTGCAGAATGGTCGCATCCCGATGGTGTCGCTGGAGTGTGTGTCGTGCAAAGCTCAGTCTCGCTACGAGATCAGTCAGAGCTCTTATGTGTACCTGGCTGGCACCTGCAATAACTGTCACAGCTCACACAGAGGGGTGAGAACAACCCTTATATGCATGGCCCACTCATGACACGCTGTCATCAATCACAGGCTTACTATTAAACCAGTGTTGCCTATGGGAAAGTACGAAATGCAAAAATAATTACAACTCCCTGCTGTTTCGGGCTGGTCGGGATGCTCAAATAGAACTCTTAAGCACATCACAAAATCAAAATTGGACAAAATTATTTTTTGGCCAGTGAAATGCATATTTTAATTCCTTTATCTTCTAGCTTTCCAAAAAGCATGGAAAGCATGATATAATTTGCCCCTAGGACTAACACTGTCCTCATCGAATCTGAATGTTGGGAATTACATATTTTGGATTTTGTGAGTCACTCATGCCTTATTTATTAGAGGAAACATGCCGTCATCATTTTTTGAAGAGAGCTGTACATGGAGAGATAGCGGCATGATGTCATTCTAGAACGGTTTGTCTTTTTTCACAGGCATTCCTCTTGCTTTTTTCCGACCTGCTTTCTCATAATGTTTAGACTGAGACTCGAGTGATGTTATGGTTATGGGAACCGGAGGGGAGACCTGAGTGGGCGTACGGGGTGATGTCATCATTATGATGTGATGTGTTCCACTGCATTAGCCGTTAACGACATGCCAAACCTCCTTAAACACGTATTTACTTGGCGACCGAGCGGTCAAACACTCCTTCCCCCTTGGTCTGGTTCCCGTGAGCCAGAGACAGTAAATATTATGGTACAAGTCAGGGACGCTTATCTAGTGGTTCAAACACTCAGTCTGAGATGAGTGCTGATTGGGATTAATGGTGATGGAGGTCACTGCAAGGTTACAGAAAAACCTACTTGGAATTCATATATATATATATATATATATACATAAATGACATTAAAATGCATTGGCTTTCCTACGTAGGCATTTGAAATAGTGTCATTCATGAATTTTAACACATCACATAATGTGTTTAATTTTAATTAACTATGTAAATGTATTCAAATAATATTTTTTTCTATTTTTAATGGAGAATTATTCATAATAATTTACATACATTTGATAATTTAACTGCTCATTTTAAAGTGATGAATTTAAGTCAATATTAATATGGAAATGACATGTAAATATCCCTGCCGTGTCTGTTGTTGTTGTTAGCGCTGGACGGCGATGACTGGAGGGAACGAGACGCTGGTGCTGGATCTGAACACCACCACCACGGGCAGCAACAGCATGAACCTGGTCCTGCGACAGGGCATCCTCCGCGATGGAAACTCCTACATATTCAGCCTCCATGTGACCGATGACAGCATGGACCGCGAAGGAGTGGCCTACATCGAGCTCCACCCCAACCTGCCGCCAGCCGGCGGGACATGTTCTCTGTGGGCGGATGGGGACGGGCCTCAGGTGCGCACACTGCTGGAGAGAGTGCACTTCAACTGCTCAGGTGAGACTAGAGAAGAAGGACTTTATGTACCGTAGGATACTGAGAAGAAGCAGAGCTGAACGATCGCGTCTGGTTTTCAGGTTACACTGATATAGATGAGACAGAGTCTCTGCTGGTCTATAGTCTGCTAGCGGTGCGCTGCTCTGGGATGTACTGCGAGGAGTTCTGTGTGTATAAAGGCACGAGTTCAGAACATTCGGCCTTCCTGCCGCCGGGCTTCAGCTCGGCCCGGTACCAAGTGACTGCGGTTGTTATGGTGGAGGACCACCAGGGGGCGACAGTCATGGCCCGCAACAAGTAAGACACGGTTTGGCTTCGAGACTTCATGTGTTCCTTTCTTTGCAGCCAGTGTTGTGAATGGTTTGTAATGCGTGTGTCAGGTCGATGGAGGTGGTGCTGCCGGCGGTTCCTGACAGATTCAGCTGTCTCCCTCACTGGCTCAGCAATCTAACCGACTCCACCCTGAGAGAGCTGCTCCGTCAGGGAGATTCACAGAGAGTACGGGAGCTCTCACTCGCTCTCATCACCGTCCTCAATGAGGTAAGACCGACTGTCCGTCCGTCCGTCCGTCCGTCCGTCCGTCCGTCTGTCTGTCTGTCTGTCTAACTAACTATCTATCTATCTATCTATCTATCTATCTATCTATCTGTCTGTCTGTCTGTCTACCAGATCCATCCATGTCTATACATCTGTCTATCAATGTCCTTCCATCCATCCATCCATCCATGTCCTTCCATCCATCTATCTATCCATTCATCTCTATCATCCATCTATGCATAGATATCTATCTGTCTGTCTGTCTGTCTGTCTGTCTGTCTGTCTGTCTGTCTGTCTGCCTGCCTGCCTGCCTATGCATCTGTCTTTCCATCATCTCTCTATTCATCCATCATCCATCTGTCTTTCTCTCAATCTGTCCATCTGTTTGTCTACCCATCTGTCTCTCTATTTATCTCTTCATCTGTCTATCAGTCTACCCATCCAAGCCATCTATCCTTCTATCAGTCTGTCCAATTATCATCCGTCTATCTGTCTGTCTGTCTAGCTTTCTGTTATCCATCTTTCATCTGTCAATCATCCGTCCGTCCGTCCGTCGTGTCTTTCTCCGTCTGCTCATCTTCTCGTGTGTGTTTCTGTGTCAGTATGAGCAGGGTGTTTCCCGCAGACGTGAGCGCGTGTCTAAGGCAGAGCGTCAGTATCGCGTGAGCGTCAGAGGAAACATCACCAGAGCGCTGACATCACTGGACCTCACCACCGTCAGTGACATCCAGCAGACATCAGCGGCGCTCGCGCAGTGCACGGTGAGACCAGACGTCCTCATGCATTCAATCCTGAACTACTTCAAAGACACGAGACACATGACCGCTCACAGAGCGAGAAATAAAGGCTTTCTTGTGTGTGTTTGTTTGCAGGCTGTGAGTCGAGAGTTTGTGTGTGAAGAGTGTCAGAACAGCACTCTGGACAAACTGGAGTCGATGTTAGAGATCCTGCAGACAGACACTAAACAGGGCACAGTCACCCCGACCGAGATAGCAGACAACATACTCAATATCATGGGTAACACATATGGTAGATAGTGCAAGGGGTAATTATATGGGATACTGTTGGTTCAAATTACTTGTCGTCTTTCATGAAAAAAAATGACAATTGTAATATAGATTTTTAATGTATTACTATTATTACTAACGATTATTACTATTAACTATAGTAATATAGGATAATTATAATATTGTTTTCAAATGTATTATTATTATTAATTCAGGATGGTCTACCAGAAAAAAAGATGACACGCATGTGCGTATGAAACTAAACCAACAGCATCTCATGTAGATACTGATCACCCCTTACACTCTCTGTCTAGCCCCTCGCACCTTATTTTTTGGCGGGCGTTGTTTTGTCTTCTCTCCCCTGCTTTCAGTGCTCCTCTCTCCACCCCCTCTTTGTTGTTTCTCTCCTCTAGCCTCCGCTGCGCACGCACACGCACACGCACACGCACACACACACACACACACACACACACACACTCTTGCTATTGAGACAGCAAACAGAATCATCCATTTCATGGCTATGTTATGCTAACACACTCACAAGCAAACAAATAACCCCAGAGGCAACAAACTGTTATTGTTCACTTGTTTACATGTTTTCATTTTTCTAATTTCTTACTAAATCTTATCTGAACTAAATCTACGTATGAATTCTAAAGAAAATACAATAAAATATTTCACAGTAAAATGCCCCAACCTGTATTATATTATATTATATTATTATACTCCACAAAAGCTTTGATTTATCTTCATTTGATGTATCTTAATTTTTTTTTTCTGAGCAGTGTGATTAATTACAATTAATTCTGTTGATTTATCAACATGCAACTAATTTTTATTTTTTTTTTTATTGACAGCCAAATTAAATCAAATTCTAATCAGTCTTGTAGCACTTCACTCCTCTTTTTGGTCTTTCATGGAGCCTTTTATCCTGTTCCTGCTGGTTTTCAATATTCATCCAGTCAATAAATCTATTTCCCCCTCAGGTGACCTGATCCACCAGGTGAGCCAGGCTGCCTCCTCTCCACCTCCGGAGGCCGAGGACCGCGGCGGCCTCTCCCAGCAGCCTCCGCTTCTCTTAGAGGAGCAGCAGCATCACCCGCTGCGAGTGGCCGCTAAAGCCTACACCCTGTCCTCCGTCCTCATGCGAATCCTCATGCTGGGCCGCGTCCTCAATGAGGAGCCCCTGATCCTCCGCGCGGCCGAGATCACAACCGCCGGCAAACGTGCCGACCCGCAGAGCCTGCTCTGCTACGGCGAGAGCGACACGCCTGAGTGCCGGCGTTTTTCCATCCCGCGAGCGTTCAACAGCAGTCTGGGACGGGCAGCAGGGGGTGCTCTGGCGCCCAACAGCGAGGATGGCATCGTGCAGCTGCTGTTCCAAGTGGAGCCCAATCCCTTTCCGTTCAACTACGTCGCCAATTACACCGTGTCGACGGAGGTGGCGTCCATGGAGTTTCACACGGTGAACGGGACACAGATTCCCATCTCGGATCTGGACGACAGCCATGCCATAACAGTTGCCGTTAATAACGGGAGCGCGGCTGGGCTGGATGGTAACGGATTGGAGGCTATCTTGCCGCCAGCGGGAGCCGAGAACATCAGCCGCTGCGGTTCAATCATCGTGAGGGTGAGCACGAGGAACACCAACAGACAAGGAAGTAAGAGGCGTCTTTTTTCCCCTAATGTTTTGATGTTTCTCACTGATGTGTATGGCAGAATAATATTGGAAGTGCATGTTGATGAAAGGCCTTTCATCCATAATAAAAGATGCGTTTGGAAGCAGGAAGCTCTGTTGTTTGTTAAAATCAACATCAGTCGCCACAGGAGTAACTCATTCATTAAAATCAGCAGTGAAGATGATGTTTTTCACAAAGCACAGAGAGCGGCTCATCCTGCCAGATATGAAACTAAATTATTCATTTTGTAAATTTTGTTTTTGATTGTCAGCCAATAAAATAAAAGCACTTGCCATTACGCACTAATACACACGAATTAGTTTTTATTCTAATTTCTAATTTCCGTTCTCCGTCTCAGGTCCTATGACACCACGCGTGATCACTTCATAAACGTGTCGACGGGCTGCGGCGCAGACGATCCGCATCTGATCCGGCTGGAGGTGGCCGTCTTCACCTCGCTGTGTCAGTATTTCAGCGAGAGCGGCAGTCAGTGGCGGACGGACGGCATGCATCCGCTTCCCGAGACCAGCGTGAGCCGAGCCGTGTGTCGCACGCATCATCTCACCGCTTTCGCCGCCAGTCTGTTCGTTCCCGTCGACGCCGTCTCCTTCATCATTCCTGTGAGTATTACAACTCAACTCCGATGCCATTTGGTTTTTCGTAATACTATTAATAATATATTTTGAAATTAACCTTAATTCTGTCCAGACATACTAGTAATGATTCTTTAAAATAGTTTAAAATATATTTCATTAATTTATTGTTTTATATATGTTTTAATTTTAACATATTATATTATATTATATTATATTAGCAGTAGTAATGATTCTTTATATTTTTATATATTTCTATTTTAGTTTAATTCATTTATTTTTTTATCTATATTATGTTATAATTTCAAAAAATAATTAAAGAATAAAATTAGTAATTGTTTTATTTTTTCAAATACTTTTAAATCAGCCTTCCTTCCGTCCGGGCATAATTGTAACAGTATATTTACTACTATGTCTAATATTTTTTATAATATTTTTAAAATCAGCCTTCTACCAATATATCTTTTTTTTTTTTATTCATATTTATATTTCTGGTTTTCTCAAGTTTAATATATACTAAGCAGTTAAATTATTAATATTAAATTATTATTTCACAAATTGTGTATATTTTAATTCTCAAAAACTATATATATATAATATTAAAAAAATAAAATTTTCTTCTAAAATAATGTTTGAAAATAATCTTTTTTCTTTCCACAGAAGTTATGCAAGTTTATTATATATATAAAATATATTCTTCATTTTAATTTTAAATGTATTGTATACATTTGAATGTTTATGATATGATGTGATATGGTTTAAGGGATAGTTATAATGCAGTGTCATCTGTCAGGAGCGTTCGGTGACTCGTAGTCTGGTGGTGGTGCTGGTGTGTGTGATCGGACTGCTGTGTTACGCTGTGGCCGGTGCTATAATGCGCAAGCTGGATCAGATGGACCTGAGACGGGCCTCTGTGGTGCCGCTGTGTGGGAAGGACGGTCTGTACAAGTACGAGATCCAGGTCAAGACCGGCTGGGCTTACGGAGAATATTAGTAATTGTCTTGTGTTTTTGTCTTTTTACAAAATATATGTCTATATCAATTTTATTTATTTTCATTTAATTTTTATTTATTAATTGTTATTTATTTAGCTATTTTAGTACATGAAGTTAAACTATATTAAAATGAGAAATCTTTCTTTGGCCACTAACTGAAATGGCAATAAAAATAATTAAATTTTTTTAAGTTTTACTTTATTTAAATTACCTTTATTTTCAAGTAACAAAAATGGTTTTTTTTTTACAGTTTTAGTTGACGATAATAACCCTGGCGATTGCAGTGTCATCTGTCAGGAGCGTTCGGTGACTCGTAGTCTGGTGGTGGTGCTGGTGTGTGTGATCGGACTGCTGTGTTACGCTGTGGCCGGTGCTATAATGCGCAAGCTGGATCAGATGGACCTGAGACGGGCCTCTGTGGTGCCGCTGTGTGGGAAGGACGGTCTGTACAAGTACGAGATCCAGGTCAAGACCGGCTGGGCTTACGGAGCAGGTGAGATGCAGATGTTTCGCAGGTTAGGAAAGTCTGACCGTCCTCTTAGACTGAAAGAAACTGTCCGATCGACATGTTAAAGTGACCAGCCACTGACTAGTTCTGAGTCACTGCGTCAAGGTGTCTGTTAACGTGTGAGATTTTGCAGGCAAAACGTGCCATTGTCTATTATCAATAGTGTAGATACGTGACGCACAGTTCACACAGAAGTCACTTTAAAACAAAGCAGCTTTCTTTTGCTAAACACGACAAATTCACCAACCTGAACACCAGGGAAATCAGCGTGGGGTTCAAATCGCACAGAGTCCTAGTGAAATAAACAAATATATGTTTTTATTTTTGTATTTTCAATTTTAATTTAGAAGTTTTTGTCATTTTGTTGTGTGTTTTTACCATTTTTAAATGTCTGTTTAGTTTGTATTCATTTTTATTTCCGTTTCAGTTTTACTTATTTTAGTACACCAAGTTTTAGTACACAAATGAGAAATTTTGCTTTGAACTAACTGACTTTTTTTTTTTTTTTTTTCAATTAATGTTCATTTTATTTCCAGTAACACGTACCATTTTTTATGGTATGTGTTATTTTAGTATAATGGATATAATATTATAGTTATATATA